AAAAAGTCTCCCGAACGCGACTAAAATGATCGCCGTTTCGGGGGTGCTCGGGCCTGTTCGCTCCCAACATCCAAGCTTGGCAGTGGGCAAATAGGGCGAGGAATCCCTCTTGTCCTATGTGAATGCGGATCGCCTTTTTCGGGAGTGCTCGGGCCTGTTCGAGGCCCCTGTTATGGTCTCCCGAAACTGCCCTCATGCAGGGGAGAGGTTTTCCGAGCATTCGGGAGTGCTCTAGAGCCTTGAAACCTGACAAATCCGGAATTCAGTCTGACAGGTTGATTCTTTGGGGGGGAAACTGCTTGTGGGTCACCTTTTTTTTTTTTTTTTTTTTTGTTGTTGTAATTTTGAAAGGGCGATGGCCTTGAGATATCATCATTAAGCTGACCGGTGCTGAAATAGTTGGTTTTTACACCCTTACTCATCACGTTCCATCATCATCTGGGCCGAGGTCCCACTAGCAAAAAGGATAGGATCGAGCTCCTGAATCTGGATGTGTTTGAAGCACAGATGCAGAAAAGCATTTCAATCTCGATTTCCTGCACATCTCCATAAACTCGTCCAGATTCAGGAATTCGATCCAATCCTCTTTGCTAGTGGGACCACGCCCATGGATTCCAACACTGGTCTGTATTTTCAAATTTCAACAGTTCAGGAGTGTACCTACTGAGCTAGGCTCTTGGGTTTGCTCTTATCAGCAGCACCAGCAACGGAAGGGTTTTAAATTAAAAAAAAAATTAAAAAAAAAAAAAAAAAAAAAAAAAAAAAAAAAAAAAAAAAAAAGAGCTAGGGTCTTGGGTAGGGTCATAGGTAGGAAAAACAGGGGGTCGCGAAATTCACGTCGTCCGAGTCCACAAAGGCATAAAAAAACATTACCTGGCAGTAGGAGGAGGGCTGCAGTTCATTTTCAGCAAAAAAAAATGTCCTTTTGGTTTTTCTTTTTTTTCCCCTGGTGTAAGCACCCCTGGCAGTTGGCCCATGGCAACTGCAACAGGCCGCAGTAGCACGTGGCAGGGCCAAGCCCTAATCATTTGGCATTTGCCAGATGAATCTCCCTAGGCAGTTGCATTTGCCAGATGAATCTTCCGCTGGAACATGGCAAGATGCAGCACCACATGTGGCAAGATACAGCACCACATGGAGCCACAGCCATAGAGGAGCTCCCTGCCCTTTGCCACCAGAATTGGGGGGGGGGAAGAATCTGACAAAAAGAGAAGTAGAGAAAAAGAAGAATTCACCTAAAACAGTTACAGGCTGCCCCTACAACCCAGCTTCTGGAGTATGCGCCACCTGGCGCCTTAGTTTTCAGTCTTAAAGTTTCTCCTTTTTTTGGCCTTTTCCTGTCTGTTGGTTTCCTGCCAAGGGTGGTTTCTCAGTTCTAGTGCCTTTGTGGGCACTCTGTTAGAACACTGACAGGTGTTCGATTCCACTATTTTTTTGCCTTTTTTTTGCCTAGCATTCAGGCTAGCAGACCACTATTTTCAGACCAAAAAAAAAAAAAAAGAGATTTGGGGCCGCTCTGTATGTTTGCAGGGGTCCCCTGCTGTATCAGCCATAGGAGTAGTGGTAGGTATGTAGTGAAGGTGAACTGAAAATTTTCAAAGATGATGAAAGATATCAGAGAAAGGGAAAAAAAAAAAAAAACCAGCCTGTCATCCTTTTTTTTTTGAGAAAACTATGGCGCAGTCAGGGTTACAGTTTGCAATTGCATTTCAAACTGCTTTTTAGCAGTTTAGACAGGGCCCAAGTTTCAATTGCAGTTGAAACTCAGGCTCCCCTTTTCTAGCAGTTCACTCAGGCACATGGCCGGTTTTCTTTTCTTTTTTTTTTTTTCTTTTTTTTTTTTGTCGCACGCTGCGCCGCGGCTGGAGGAAAAAAAAAACAAAAAAAAAAAACAGCCCCGTGGTTGGGCCACGGCTCGGCCACACCCCAGATTGGCCCAGATTGGCCACGGCCCAGATGTAGCGTGGCGGGGCCGCCCTACACAATTTGAACCTGGGTCTGTATTTCAACAGTGCAGGGATGTGGGTCAAAGAAGAAAAAGAAAAGAAAAAGAGAAAAAAAAAGAAAAAGAGAAAAAAAAAGAAAAGAAACCAGGAACTATGAATCCACCTACAGGTGCAAGTTACACCAGTGCTTTGAGGAATGTATCTGGCCAGTATGTGAGGACCGTGAGACATGTCTTTTTCTTTGTTTTCTGGCCCTGCCAGGCAGGCAGGGCCCTATTCCATTCTTTTTGTTGTGAGGTCTTAGGGCCCTGCCAGCCAGGCAGGCAGGGCCGGATTCCAGGCGAGACAGCTAACTGCCTACATTGTCAAGTACTGTAGCATCCTGTATAGGACAACAATCACAGCATAAGGGATGCTTTTTGTTTTGACAACAATCACAGCATAAGGGATGCTTTTTGTTTTTTATTTTTTTATCTGCTGTTCGTGGATGGACGAGGCCCCTGACTGAACTGCTAGCTAAAGGCAGCCCGAGTTTCAACTGCAATTGAAACTCGGGCCCTGACTGAACTACTAAAATGCAGTTTCAAATGCAATTACAAACTGCTTTCGTGACTGCACAGTAGTTACCTTTTTTTTTTTTTTTTTTTTTTTGGGGGGGGAAACTTCATATACGGGAAACCTTTTTTTTTTTTTTTTTTTTTTTAACCTACTTAACGAGGTGATAAGAGCATCCCCCGTAAGTAGGTCCTGGCGTCAAAGCCTCCATCTATTGGTGGGAAGCTACACCTGCTGGAAATCGGGCCCAACGTCCCTGTACAATGATGTGAATGTATCTGCTGGAAATGGGGTCCAGCGTCCCTGTACAATGATGTGAATATATCTGCTGGAAATCCGGTCCAGTGTCCCTATGCAGAGGTGTGTTAATGTCTCTAATTGCCTATGTATGTCTTATCTATCAGACGGAACCCTAACCTTTTTCTGCTGTGTAACAGCTGGAAATCGGGTCCAGCGTCCCTATACAGTGATGTGTGAGTATGGGCCTCGTTAGACACTCCTTACCAGTTCCTTGAGCCACAAGGAATTTTCCTTGTGGCTCTTAAGGGAATTTGGCAGCGTCGTTCCACACATCCTTGGGGACGTCCCCGAGGACGTTTCCTTGTGGCCTGCCCACGGCCATTTTCATATGAAGATAGGCAGCCGCAGGCGGGGGTGTTTGTGGTCCAGCGTCCGGTGTCCGTGTGGAGATGGCGTTGTCCAGCGACGTCCGGTGGAAAGGGCATGAGGCAGGCTATAAAAAATAAAATAAAAAGAGAAAACTATGGCGCAGTCAGGGTTACAGTTTGTAATTGCATTCGAAACTGCGTTTTAGCAGTTTAGTCAGGGCCCGAGTTTCAATTGCAGTTGAAACTCGGGCTGCCTTTTTCTAGCAGTTCAGTCAGCCTGAGTCAGGCACATGGCCATTTCTTCTTCTTCTTCTTCTTTTTTTTTTTTTTTTTTTTTTTTTTTTTTTTTTTAGGGGTCGCGGGCGGGGCGCCGCGCCGCGGCTGGAAAAAAAAAAAAAAACAGCCCCATGGTTGGGCCACGGCGGAGATGTCTCGGCCACACCCCAGACTGGCCACGACCGAGATGTCTCGGCCACAGCCGAGATTAAACCACCACTACCCTTCACAGGCAAAAGCGAAGTCAAGAGTAGCCTACTCCCAAGAAGAGGGGGCTCGGGGCAGGGAAGGGGGCCAAAAAAAAGAAAAAAGAAAAAGAACAAAAAAAAAAGTAAAGAAACGAGGAACTTCGAATCCAGCTACGTGGGGAAGGCCCTCACGTCACCAGTGCTTTGAGGAATGTATCTGGCCAGGAAGTGAGAAAGATGAAACGGGTCGTTTTCATTCTTTGTCTCTCTTTGTGAGGTCCCCGTAGCGCCCTGCCAGCCAGGCAGGGCGGATTTCACGCGAGGCTAACTGCCTCTCTTTCTTTCTGGTCCAGACAAGTACTTTGGCATCCTATATCGGACCGCAATCACAGCATGAGGGATGCTTTTTTTTTCTTTTTTTTTTATGTGGATAGACTGAGCTGCCTACGTTTCAACTGCAATTGAAACTCGGCCCCTGACTAAAGTGCCAAATCGGTGTTTGGAATGCAATTACAAACCATTACCCCATTAAAAAAAGGGGACCTGTGCGTTTGAAACTCAAAATTTGAAGTACAGTTGTGGTGACGACGACAACGTTCGGCTTGCAGCGCGCAGACAGTGCAGGGCTGAATCGGCCTTAGCGGCGGTGTCCCTTCCGCCCAGTGCCCACCTCTTGGTCAGTGTACATGCACGCACCGGGTGCGTCCATCACCGTTGAGCTTCTCCTCCACATCGTTCACGCCGTCACACGCTGTTCCGCCAGGGGGACGACATCCACGGAGAGGCGTCAGCTTCTCGGACCTCTCCTCGGGGGGTGAGCGGGTTACATCTCTGGGGTACGGGGATTGAGACAGCAACGGAGAGACGTCATCCCTGCGGAGGTGGTGACAATGGAGGGCGGCGGAGAGGGTGGACGTGTGCTGTTGACACTAGTGTCGTACCCCCGTTCACCGTTCGTGGGGGTTGTGAACGGGGGCCGGCCACTGTTCACGGAAAACGTGAACGCCGGTAGTTCACGGAGTTCATGCTGAGCAGGAACTCCGTTTCTTTTTTTTTTTCGCCTGGTAGGGGTACTTTTTTTTTCATAGACGTGTGGGGACTGTAAAGGGGCACCTGCCCACATATATATTTTTTTTTCGACCGGAATTTGTTTTTTTTCAATTTTTGAAAAAAAAAAAAAAAAAAAGGCTTACTACGGCCGTGAGATTTTCAGATCGGGTGGCAACGAGCCACGTTGAGTGGGCAGCCATGGTGGCAGCCATGTCAACCATTATTCTTCATTGTCAGCAGGAGAGGGCGCTGGGACGAACGAAGGAGCAGTTGCGGGCGTGTAGAAGAAGGACGCTGACGCAAGCTGCGGATGACGGCCCCGACTACATGGCAACTTCGGAGGCTGTCATTGAGTTGTGCTACACGTTGGGTTGCAGCGTCGTTCCACGAACGACACGGAGGTGGTGGATCAAACGCAGGACGGGGGGGACGTGGGAAGACCTTCGACAACTCGACGATGCCACGGATGACTACTTCAACGAGAAGAAGCATAGCGCCGAAGAGCAGCAGAGGGACCACCTGAAGCACCACAGCGATGAGGAGCAGCAAAGGGAGCCTGCGGTACAGGTCGGCCATGAACTCCACGGTGTGATGGTGGAGAGGCAGCAATGAGCACACGAAGGTGGAGAAGGCAAGAGTCTTATCGGACGAGCAACATGTGACGACATGCATGGACTGACGGCGCCGTTGGGATAAATTTTTTTTTCCGACCGTTGATGCTGGCCGAAAACGACGATGCCGCCCGATGGACTACGCATACATTCCTCAAGCGCGCGAGACCGCATGATGCCAGTCGAAAATGACGATGCCACCTGATGGAGGCACACCGCCAACAGTAGCCGTTGGGGGACGTTGGGGGACTACGCAAACGTTGGAGGGCGGGGATGTTCGTGCTAACGCTGCTGGACCACATCTGGACCACCCAAGAACCCAAACTCTCCGTCGACGCATGTCTTTGCCACTCCCGCCAACGGTTCCTTGAGTTCCAAGGGACCTCACGAGGTAGCTTGGAGATAAGGAAATTTTAACTGGGGCCACAAGGATGCCACAAGGATGCCACGAGGATGCCACAAGGAATTTTCCATGTGGCGTTTTTCACATTTCTTTTTTTAATTTCGTCCCCAAGGACAGGTGGAACGAGCACGTCCTTGTGGATTTCATGTCCCCGAGGACTCCGAGTGTCTAATGATGCAAGGATTGTCAGGCGGGGGCCCCCGGGGGCAAAGCTGGGGTAGGGGTTTGACCCCCGGACCCCCGCCGCGGGGTTGCCCCACCCCTGGCCCCCACAAAACACCCCTGCCGGTGCCCCACCCCCCGCACCCCCGCCGG